CCCGTCTCCCTCCGTCATCGTCTCCCTCCGTCATCCTCCCCTCCATTCTCCCCACTCATGCTCCCATACCCGCCCCTTGCTCCCCACACACAGTTCATCCTCCATTTTGGTGCCTGTTGAGGCCTGGCAGTGGATCTATTGGGAAAATGGTGGGCTTGGGGGGTGGGTGGAGGAGGCTAGGGTTGGGAACCCCTAGAGGGCGCACTAGGCCTCTCAGGTGTAGAAAGTAAAATTTTTTTAAAAGGCCTCTGAAATCGGGGCTCTTGAGTTTTAAAAAGTGCATAGTAGGGCCTCTGTCCTCGGTGCTGATCAGTCTACCAACACTGCGGTCCCTCCTTTCACCTCATGTCCTAGGAATAATGGAATCTAAAGAAGAACAAGCGGTAAAAAATCTCAACGTGGACAATGCCCGACAGAAAAACGAAGGAGAGGAGCAGGCCTCCATGCAGAATGAAGAGGAATCTGGCCGTTTGGGAGGGGACAAAGGCCAGAAGTCTGGTGGAAATGTCAAGCGGGGTCGTGTTAGGCGACTTGTCCCTAACTTTCGATGGGCCATGCCTAATAGGCATACTGATCACAATGAAGTGGGAGATGATGTAGAAAGGTTTGTAGGGCAGGAGATGGAAATCAAGAGGAAGACTAGGGACCAGCAGTTGAGGCAATATATGCGCTTCCAAACTCCGGAACCTGACAATCATTATGACTTTTGTCTTATACCTTGAATGCTAAGATTTTCCCTGAGGTTAATAACTTTGCCGCTACTTTACAGGCTTGTATTTTTGTGATTTATTTTTCCATTAACCTTTTGGCATTTCCATTTACAGTTTCTAATTGAATATTGTAATTATTTTGTCTCAGTTTAAAAGTTTCTATCAGCATGGCAAGTTCACCCATTTTCAGAAAAAATGTGGTTTTCATAATTTGAAATTAATAAAAGAGCTTAAAAAGAATCTGTATTTCATCATCTTCCTCTTCCACCCCAGTCCTTACTTTTGTTTTATATCATTCATCTCTCAGCTCCCTGAACTTAGAATCTCAGTTGTCTTTGGCAGTTATTATTTTTTGTCCCCCAGCTAATCAGTAAGGAATACCCATAATTCAAAAATCAATGTTATTTTAAGAATGTGTGTCCTAGTGTTTTACAGAGTGTAATTCAACTCCATTTGTATAAAAATACATGGTGTGATGGGCCGGGGGAGAGAATGCAAATATAGGACCTCTGGTCCCTGTTCAGAACTGCACAATGGGACTTAAACATCTCCATTTTAAATACATTCTCTACTGATTCTGATGTACATCAAAGTCTAAGTGCCATGAAGGTGTGTATGTATATGTATCTGTATATACATGTATGTGTATATCTTGTGTCATTAAGTGTAAACAATAAAGAATAACAGGATGAATATCTAAATTCAGTGGGCAAAACATTAAGACAGGAAATAAATGACCTTACAACATAATATAGGAGTGGTTGGGGCAGTTGCAAACTGGTGGGTGTTCATTGTAGAGGACAAACCATGTCTGAAGGTCCCATTTCACCCTAAGAGGTGCACAGTTGGATCACTCCTGTCAGCACTTTCACATTCAGGATCCCATTTTATCCTTACCACAATCCCTAAGGTTAGTATTGTTATCCCCTACTTTTTTTTTTTTTTTGGAGAGATTTTCACTGTAGGGCACGTGCGCTCGCCAGACAGAGACATAGAGACAGAAAGCGAGAAATCACCCCCCAGGGGGGATGGTCACACCACAATCCCTTCTCCTCCATTCTCTTCTCGGGATCTTGGGCACGCACGCACACACGCCCAGCGTGAGTTTTAAGCCACCGGGTCCGGGACATGAACCGTGGTCGACTACGTGGGAGTCCAGTGACATAGCCATTACGCTAACTGCTGGTTCCCATTATCCCCTACTTTTAATTTTGCCAAAGGGTATATGCACACACCTCCAGGGGGCAGGGAGAGGGAAAGTGAGAAAGCCTCCTCCATGGGGAATGATCACACTGCAATCCCTTAATTTTTTCCCCCTTTCAGAATTTTGGGCATGCACACTCATGCACCCAGTGGCTTTTTGTTTGTTTTGTTTTCCTTTATAGAGGTTTTTGCCTTAAGGTGTGTGTACACACCAGAGTGACAGACAGAGACAGTGGGGGGAAATGAGAAATCACCCCCCAGGGAGGATGGCCACGCTTCAATCCCTTCTCTTCCATTCTTGTCTTGGACCTGGATGCACATGAGCCCAGTGTGAGTTTCAAGCCACTGGGTCCAGGACTCAAACCAGTTGGCCATGTGGCAATTGCTATGTCATCTGCTGGCCCCCACTCAGTGTTTTTCAAGTCTCCAGCCCAGGACTTGAACCAATTTGCCATTGACTGGCCTTGTTATCTCGTTTTGTAAATGTAGACACTGGAGTTTAGAGATAGCAAATTACAGGGCAAGCCCCTATTGTTTGTCTTGCGCAGTGGGGTGGATTCCAGTCTGGGCAATTTTTTTTAATGTCATACTGTATCAAGTTTTGTCTCGGGAACCAGCAGTTACCGTAATGGCTATGTCACTGGACTCCCACGTAGTTGACTGTTGTTCATGTCCCGGACCCGTTGGCTTAAACTCACACCGGGCGCGTGTGCATGCGTGCCCAAGATCCCGAGTGGAGAATGGAGGAGAAGGGATTGTGGCGTGACCATCCCCCCTGGGGGGGTGATTTCTCGCTTTCTGTCTCTATGTCTCTCTCTGTCTGTCTGGCGAGCGCACGCCCCCTATAGCGAACACCTCTCCAAAAAAAAAAAAAAAAAGAAAAAGTTTTGTCTCTTACAACAGGGTGTGAAAATCTAATCACGCTTATGAACCACAAACTCAGCCTGGGCCATTTTCTATAGGATCTTGTCATCTGGAGTTGCAGTATATTTGGATTGTAATTGATGACTAACTGAGGAAACTCAGAGATTCAGCAATAAAGCTGTCTATATGTTGTTTTCCTGTATCACAGACCCTAGGATATTGGGACATAAAACATCCATAAAGACCCTGTAGACCAATGTTTTTTAACATAAAGAATGCCACCCTTTATGGCTCTTGAAGTCAGTTTTGTGCGTCACAGTAAGCAATTTCAAAAAGCTGAAGTAAAATCAGAGTTCATCAATTATGAGTAGTGTTAAGAATTATGTTGAGAAACTTGTCTTAGTTTATATGTAGGAAATAGTATCACCTTTTCAGCTGTAAGTCAGTAAAAAAAGAAAAAAAATCACTTTTTCAGTCCAAACTTACATTCACAGAGGAGAAAACTGGGTAGAAAGGGATGGTCCTAAGGTCACATAGTCAGTTAGTAGAAGAGCTGTGATATGATCATAGGCCTGGTCTCCCAATTCCCAGTTCAGTGTCCCTGTCTTCTAACCACCTTGCATCCACAAAGCTTCATTTGGAAATTTTTGCAGTATGTACTGCTTTCCAGTCAGTGTGAATAAACAACCACGTGCAACTTACACAGAGTCACTATTTGATGGCCACACTGCCTAGTCATGCTCAACTGAGAAACATACATAAAGAGAACTCTGTCTCAAATAATTCTGGAGCTAGAATGGTCTTTCACTTTCTGTCTAGAGGAAGGGGATGATGGAGAGTTTGATCTGAAAATGCACAGTGGTAGACTCATAGGCACTTCATAAAGGCTAGCTGAAGTTCATGAGTGACCTTCTGATTCTGAAAACCAGTGCCATGCGTTTTCTAGCAACTACCAATTCTGGATTTCTCAAAGTAACCTCAATTTAAAAAAAAAAAATCTCAGAGTTAGGATGACTACAGAACATGATTGAAGAAAGCTGAAGAGCCCTCACCACAGTTTGTTTGTTTGTTTGTTTTCTAATGGGGTTGGGGGTGGGGAGGAATGAAAACAGACTTTCTGGAAGAAGTGAGGGTTAATTTGGGTTCAGAATATAATTTTTTAAAATAATTATTTTATTATTTATTTATTCATTCATTGATTTTTTTAAATTTGACCAGAGAGAGACAGAGAGTGAGTGAGAGAGAGAGAGCAAGTGAGAAAGCAAGCCACCAGGTCCAGGACTTGAACCCCGGTCAGCCATGTGGGAGCGTCCAGTGCCTTAACCACCACGCCACCCGCTGGTCCCCAGAATATAATTTTTAAGTACTGAAATAAGCCTCATCTCCTTGATGTTCTGGGAGAGTGGGATGATAATTACAGACTTTTGAAGATGTAAAAGTCAGGGAATTGGGTCATAATGTGTTTGGTTATAGGAGAACCAAATTAAGAAAGGCCCCTCTTCTGGGAGTTTCTGTGATGAGTGCGAAACTTTCTAGACATTCAGGGCCCATGACAAGAATGTGTCTGAAGGAGAATTGAAGGAAGTTCCTTTTCCTGGGTGTTTCTGCAAGGGTAGAACAGTAGATGATTGTTCAAAAGAGAACTGAGCTACCACGGTTAACACTTTAATTAATGCGTCTCATGGGAGAGTCAACTTTCCCTAACCATAGTGGACTATACATTCTGTCTTTTTTAAGTAATGGCAGAAAGATGTCAGATTGTCACTGAAGAGTCCATAAAAACCAACAAAAGTGAATAAATTAAAAACCACAAAAGGGACTATCTCATTCATCCCTATTAATTGTTTATACATGTTTGTAAATGTTTAGTTTCTTCATGAAGATGCATATCATGTTTTTATAGATTTTGGAACAAGTCTTGGGATAGAATGCTAGTAATTAAGTAGAGTAAGAGTGAGGAGAACTCTGCGGAGAGTCAGCCTTATATTACACAGAAGCATATGCTGCTGTCTTCAAATTACAGAAAGTGGAGATATCACTGAGGAATACTTTTGAAAGGCCAGTGCTATAGACTGAATATTTAGAGCTCCCATGGATAGGATTAGTACCCAAATGAAACAGATCCCAGAGAGCTCTGTCACGTCTTCTATGAATCAGGAAGTGGGTCCTCACTAGACACGGAATCTGGTGGGCACCTTAATCTTGGACTTTTTAGCCTCTAGAATTGTGAGAAATAAATTTCTATTAAGAATATATTTTATTTAACTCTATTTATTTATTTTAATTTAACCAGAGAGGGAGAGAGAGAGAGAGAGAGAGAAGATGAAGAGAGAGAGAGAGAAAGAGAAAGTGAGAAAACAAGCCACCAAGTCCAGGACTTGAACAGCAGTCAGCCATGTGAGAGTCCAGCACCCTTAACCACCATGGCACCTGCTGGTCCCAAATTTCTTTGATTTATAATCCACCCAGTTTACAGTATTTTGTGACAGCAGCCCAAAATGACTAGGACAGCCAACAAAGAAAAAAAGTGAATTTATACTAAAAAATAAACAAAAACCAAATACTGCAAGAATAAGACACTAAAGCAGGTTACCACTTCCAGTCCTTTTAGTCTGTATCCACATGTAAGTATTTTAACTTTGTTGAAGTATAATTTAAGTTTAAAAAGCACGTAGTTAAAGTGTTCAATGTGACCATTTTACATATGTGTAAAACTATGAAACCATAACTACAATCAAAATAGCAAAATTATAAAAGGGCATAAAAGCAAATACTTCCATCACTTCCAAAACTCTCCTTTTCCCCATTTGTAATTCATATCTCCCTCCATCCTCATCCCCAAACAACCTCTTTTATGCTGTCACTATAGTTTGCATGGTATTTCTTGTATAAATTGAATCATAGAGAATGTACTCTTTTATTTTATTATAGTTTGGTTTGATTCATTGAACATAATGATTTTGCATTCAATAATAGCATATTCCTTTATATTGCTGAACAGTATTTCATGGTGTGGTAAGTGTTTTATTCATTCATCTACTGTTGTACATTTAGATACTTTATAATTTTGGGCTCTTCCATATAAATCTGTTATGAATATTCATATACAAATTCTTTTTTTTAATTTATATTATCATCATAATCTTCTTTATATTACATTGGATTACATATA